AAGGCTGCAGCACTTGGCCTAAAACCTGGACCAAAATATAGTGAGCTACAACATGGTAAATCAGTGAAGTCAGACCACCTAGATATAATGGTGAGTGTGCTGTTAATAACAAAAATTCTTTTGTTCCTTCGCTTTTGATATATAAATATTTGTCTGGTTGTACTTTTTGACCCATGGTAAACTTTCCTATGTATAGGTTCATCCATCTGATGTAATGAATCCTCCTGTCCCTGGTCCTATTGTCTTCCTGATTGACTGTCCTACAGAATCTCATATACAGGACTTGTTATCCATAGAAAGCCTCAATGGATACTATACTGAAGTATCAAGTAATCTAGCAGAGAGTAGGAAGATGGTAAACTGTGTCATTCATTTAAGTCCTGCTTCTGTTGTAAGCAGTTGTGACTACCAGAAATGGATGAAGAAATTTGGTTCAGCACAACATATCATGGCTGGGCATGAAAAGTAAGTCTCTTTGCATCGTACGGGAAATAAATCTTTGCATCGTACAGGAAATAAATATTTGCACCCTTGCTTATGAACTGATGGTTTTCTTATGTATACTACTCTGCAGAAGGAATCTTGAGTTTCCAATTCTAAAATCAAGTGCAAGAGTTGCATCACGTCTTAATTACTTATGCCCACAGTTCTTTCCGGCTCCAGGATTCTTGTCCTTTCAGCACCTTAATTACTCAGAATCAGATATTAACTCACGTGAGGTCTGTTTCCACTCTAGAAGCGACATTTTTTAAGAATCAGGTTTATTATTATACCATGAAATGATTGGAGGCAACTGAGTATTATTTTCCTTTTTAACAGGGTTCCACTTTGAAGATCTGTGAAAGCATTCCTGCTGAAAATCTCTTAAAGGTATTCATTCTTCTTGAGGTCACAACTGCCCATCCCTTTCCTTTTCCTTAAATAAGGGGAAAACTCTAATAACCAATTTCCCTGCCATAAAATAGGTAATTCTGTTCCATGAATTAAGTGAATAATTGGATGGTTAATTGTTACTTGTTAGTGTAAAATAAGTATAAGTATTTCTATTTTGTATCTATTTTGGTAAAACACTGTTTATATTATATTCTGCTCTGGGCTCTTAAGAAAATTTAATAGTGCAATAGTTTCCTGTTAAAGAGTGTTTCTTACATCTTGGACAGTTCACGTTGCGCCCTTATGCTCAACTGGGACTGGACAGATCACAAATTCCAATTCCGATAGGCCACTCTCAAGTAATTAATGAACTGCATTTAGAAATTCCAGAGATTGCAGATGCTGCACAAAATGTCAGAGGGTTTTGGCAGGGACTAAAAGAAAGTAAGGAGATATTAACTACAAATGATAAAAGAGTTATGATTGAAGAACCATGGTTGACTGAAAATACTCTGCCTAGATGTTTGGAAAATGTAAGGAGAGATGACCTGGAAATTGTGCTTCTTGGTACGGGTTCGTCGCAGCCTTCTAAGTATCGCAATGTTAGCTCTGTCTATGTCAATCTTTTCTCCAAGGGAAGTTTGCTCTTGGATTGTGGAGAAGGAACCCTGGGACAACTGAAAAGAAGGTAGAATGTTATAAAATTTTCGTCGATAACAGTGATATCATTCCTTTATCCCTTTTAATTCATGACTGTTTGTCTATTGAGGAAACAGATATGGCGTAGATGGTGCAGACAATGTTATTAGAAATCTAAAATGTGTTTGGATATCTCATATTCATGCTGATCACCACACGGGTCTGGCGAGGGTTCTTGCTTTGAGGCGTGATTTATTGAAGGGAGTGCCTCATGAACCATTACTGGTTATAGGACCACGACAGCTTAAACGATATTTAGATGCATATCAAAGACTTGAAGATCTTGATATGCAGTTCCTTGATTGTAGGAGTACCACAGAAGCTTCATGGGATACTTTTGCCAGTGATGACGAATCAAATAATAATGGATCATCTCCAGAAAGTCCAATGCATTCAAATGCCAAAAATGGAACTTTGTTTGCTAGAGGTAGCCGCATGCAGAGCTATTTGAGGCAACCAGGCAGTCCAGTGGACCATTCTGCAGCTTATCCATTCCTAAGGAGATTGAATAATATACTAGGCGAAGCAGGATTAGAAGCTTTGATTAGTTTTCCTGTCGTGCACTGTCCCCAGGCATTTGGCATTGTTTTGAAAGCTGCGGCGCGTGTCAACAGTGCTGGAAAAGTCATCCCAGGATGGAAGCTTGTGTACTCGGGTGACACTAGGCCCTGTCAAGAACTGATTGATGCATGTCGTGGAGCAACAGTTCTCATACACGAGGCAAGTTAACTGCTATGTTTCATTGATTTTCAACATAGCTAATAGTTTTGCGATCATCATTCTAATTGATCCATATTTTCCATGTCTATTTACTGTTCAATCTCACCATTTTAGGATTCTTAAGTGGTCTACCCAGCTTCAAGTTTACTTTGAAACTGAATACCTCTTTTATACTTGCATTAACCATCATCAGCACTTTCACAAGGTTAATTTGATTATCTTACGCTTGATCATATTACAGGCGACTTTTGAGGATGGTTTGGTTGATGAGGCCATTGCAAGAAACCACAGTACAACCAAGGAAGCCATTGAGGTGGGAAACTCTGCGAGTGCTTATCGCATTATCCTAACCCATTTCAGCCAAAGATACCCGAAAATCCCTGTATTCGATCAGACACACATGCATAAGACATGCATTGCATTTGACATGATGAGTATTAACATAGCAGATTTGCCGGTGCTTCCCAGAGTCCTCCCATACCTTAAACTGCTTTTTAGAAATGAGATGGCAGCAGATGAGTCAGATGATATTGTAGAAGCTGTGGTGTAAGTTTCTTTACTAATAATGAATTAATTGTTTTCTTGTCTATACTGATTTAAGAACTTACGTGGTACAACCAGTATTTATACGTTTTAAGCTTGTCCGTCACAATTTGTAAACCGGGTGTCGGAGAGGAGCTGCCTTTGCTACTCAAATCAGATCGGAGAAGATATATATAAACCGGGGTTCGATCGAAAGTTACACAAAATAACTAAATGAAGTGTTTGGTTCTTCTCATCATACATCTTTTGATTATTCATATGAAATGGGAAGCAAACTGTTGCAGGTGTAAAATATTGTGGCACGAACATAGTAGTGAAAGAAACTGTAGACAATGACATTGTTTAAGGTCAAAATCATAATCAGGCATTCACAATCTCCATTATTATATGTAAAACAGCACGTGGCAGTATTCAAGTTGTACAAATGTGGAAATAGCCTTTTTCCTTTTGACCAAGTATAGACATTACCTAAAACCTTTTGATTTATAGCTTCGCCTCCCTCTCCTTCCTACACACTTTACCTAAACGTATCCTTTTTTCAAACAAAAAAAAAACATGTCGGAATTAAATATTTATCAGGAGAAATTATTTTATAGTCTAGAGCTACAAATTTTCGTTCTTTGCTCATCTTATCATTTATAGTCTAGAGCTACAAATTTTAAAATAGTTTCTAAATAACCATTCATTCTTTATTTACATGTAGGATTGAGGTAAATATTTACCTTAAAAAACATGAGATAGAAAATTATTATTGATTGGGATCGTACATGACATGGTAAGCCGAAACCATCTAATAATGAGATGTTATAATTGCAAGCAAATTTTGACATTGCAATCTAAAAATTACATAACTATAATATAAATATTTAAATATATTAAAATATAATAATTTATATGAACCCATAAGTAACTAAAAAATAATGTTATTCTATTTAGAAGTCTAAAGTTTTAGTAGGTGTATATGGTTTATTAATGACTAAAAAAGATTTCAAACATATATTATTTTATAACTATATTATATTATAAAAAAACAATTTACATCGTGAAAGTAAAAATTATTTCAAGTATATGACATTAAATTACTATAAAAATGAATAAATATCATATATATATATATATATATATATATATGAATTGCCGGATCTAATTGGGAACGGAGGGGCTGGCTGACAAACCAAAACAGCGACTGCTCCTTTAATTTAAATCACATAATCTCCCTTAGGATAGCACCGAGAAGGTTGTTTGATTGATTAAAAAAAATTCTAATAAAAAAGGGTAAACTACTTATTTGGTCACCCACCTTTACTTACTTTCAGTTTTGTCACTTAATTTTTTTTTAAAATCATACTTTTTTGGTTTTGTTTTAGTCGTTCATGGTTAAAAAACAATGATGCTGACATGATATTTGTTAATTAGTTTTCAATGATGATATGATATTACTTTATGGTGACACGCCAATACCACTGTTAAACAATTAACAACGGTTGAGAAGAAAAGAATTAAAATGTAACGTTAGGTATGACTTTAAAAAATATAATAGTTAAATGACCAAAATAGAAACTAAGTAATAGATGGGTGACAGAATAGGTAGTTTACCCATAAAAAATTACGTTATGATTAACAACGTTACATTTCACTGGATAATTTGTATCCAGAAGACACGTCTCTACAGGCAACCAGACTCTGGAGATCTTCATGTTTATTAAAAGCAATCAGCAGCAGCAATTAAAATAGTGATTCGGTATCAGAATAGTAATTATTATATAACGATAAACGTGTTATCTAAAATTATTATATAATAATATCTATTATTGTTACAATTGCGATATACGATTCAACCGAACCGAAGATACCAGCAGTAAAACTGGAAGAATCCTAATGTCAACACACTGTAAAAGAAAAGAAAAGAAAAAAAGAGGGAGAAAGAGAGAGAGAGCAAGGCGTTGAAAGTCTCTGTCTAGAGTTGAAATAAAAGTGTGTAATCTCAAAACAAAATAAATTGCATTTAAATTGAGTTGCCTCTGAATTGAGGAGCTGTTTTCACACATTTGTTTAATGTACCCTTTGTGTTTTTTGCATTTATAACCTACTTCTTCCACCTCTTTCTTCTTCTCTTTACCGACTCTTTCTTCTTATCTCTCATTCTTCAACGACTCCTTAATTATTTTATAGTAGGAAGAAATCTTGAAGTTGAAAGGGAAATATAATATGTACATACATAATTATATGTTTTTGCCACTTTTCACTCATTAAAAAACCATCTTTCCTCTGAAATTTCTTGACTTTCTTCCACCTTTTCTGGCAAAAATGATCCTTCAGTCTATTGGGTTGTGTTAAAAAATAAAAAAATAAAAGCTTTTTTTTCCCCAAGGTTATCGTGAATTATGGGTAATAGCTTATTTTCCAGGAGAAAGAAAGATAGCAAAGATAATTATGGAACAAGGAGTAAGAGGATGGGGGGAAGGTCCCAGAGGAAAATGCTTGCTGAGGAAGAGCTTTTGCATAGGCAAGCTTTGTCTATGGCTCTTCATCAGCACCAATTGTCTCAGAGATTTGATGGATCCATGTCCAGGAGAATTGGCTCTACCAGCTCCAGAAGACATACTGATCCATTAGCTAATAATGAAAAAAAGGTGGGTTATTTTTTATTTTAATTATTATCAAAGTACTTGGCCTTTCTTTGCTTGCTCACTGTGTTTTTTCAGCTTTTTCTTTTGCAATCATTATGTTTATCACTGTTTTAGTTGACTGGATCTATGATGAAAAGGTGAGCTTTTGATCATTGATTGTGTAAAAACAAGAGAAAAAAAGTTGTTAATCATGTTGGAGAACAGCTTGGTCGATGGTCCACCAGGTGAATAAATAAGGGACTAGAAATGTTTCTTTTTGCCTTTTAGCTGATTCACTGTGCTTTTAGCTTTACGTCTTCATGTTAGATCTTTGTGAAAAGCAATCTCAAAAGCATTGTTTATTCTATTGTGCTCTGTATTAGCATATTTGTTTTAAAAATCTTGGAACTTCTACTATAAGCTGATTTCTAGTACTACTTTCATGTTCATTGCAGGTGCTGGAATCTCTTGAAAACATCAAATTTAAGAGAATTGTTCTGATACATGGAGAAGGCTTTGGAGCTTGGTGTTGGTATAAAACCATTGCTCAATTGGAGGAAGTGGGCCTTTCACCCACGGCATTCGATCTCACTGGTTCCGGTATCGATCTGACAGATACCAACACCGTCACTACATTAGCAGAATATTCGAAACCTTTGATTCAATATCTGGAGACCCTTCCTGAAGATGAGAAGGTAAGTGGGCACATTTGATACTTCCCATGCATTTTATTTATCTAAGAAAGCATTGCCATCTTTTGTTCAGGTTATTTTGGTGGGTCATAGCAGTGGAGGTGCATGCCTTTCTTATGCACTGGAGAATTTCCCAGAAAAGATCTCCAAAGCAATCTTCCTCTGTGCTACAATGGTATCTAATGGTCAGAGACCTTTCGATGTGTTTGCAGAAGAGGTATTTTATCAATGCCTAGCTGCCGATTGTTTTACAGCGAGTAATTACACACGAATCTATGTTACTTTGGTTTTCCATTTTGCTTGAACCAAATGTATCAAAGAACTAATTTTATTAGGACGTTAACGATTATTGCTACTGAATCTTGGTAATGAAGGTTCTTTCACTGCTCCTTTGCTCTTAGTTTTCTGGCCTACGTGAGCTGATAAAAGAATTCGTTGCAGCTCGGTTCTGCTGAACGTTTCGAGCAGGAGTCGCAGTTTTTGATTTATGGAAACGGAAAAGATAAGCCGCCTACGGGGTTCATGTTCGAGAAACAGCTAATGAAAGGATTGTATTTCAACCAATCACCAACAAAGGTATTTTACCGCTTTATTTTCAAGCGAACTCTAAAACAATTAATTAAGGTTGTTGTTTTCAGTTTTTACATTTTCTTATGAAGTATGCATCTACATATGGCCCATTTTGGGGCTAATGTATGTTGTGTATGCCAATAGTTCTCTCCTCTGCTTTAGTCTGCATTATGGTTAAGAAAATTCATGCTGCAATGGTTTGCATTGACAATGCACTATAATGTATGTGAGATTCGACATACCATATCTTCTGATGATCTATGTCGGCCTGTCGGGGTTTAATAGTGAATGTTATGTTGCATTGTACGTTGTTAATACTGTGTCGAGGTATGGTGTAATGTTGAATTTATGGACTGATCACCATTATGGGAGTGAGGAGCTTGAGAAGTACTTGAATCTTTGTTACTTATTCATAGAATCATATATTCAACATGATATTTGATTCCTTTCCAGGATGTTGCTTTGGCCATGGTTTCCATGAGGCCCACTCCACTAGGTCCTATCATGGAGAAACTGTCATTGACCCCCGAGAAATACGGGACCGGACGGCGGTTCTACATTCAGACATTAGATGATCGTGCTCTTTCACCGGACGTGCAAGAAAAACTAGTACGGGAGAACCCACCAGGAGGAGTTTTCAAGATTAAAGGGAGTGACCATTGCCCATTCTTCTCAAAGCCACAGTCGCTTCACAAAATTTTAGTAGAAATTATTCAGATTCCTTAGCTTAATTTTCAGACAAGAAGAAAAAAGGGAAAGGGATAAATCATTAGTATTTATTTATATTTTCTGATAGAAAACAGTTTTTTCATTACATGGCATTTTATAGTCACAGGCCTTGCATGTAGAACTATGGGCTACCTGTCTGTAATTTATTCTCTCTTTTTCTTACAGGACAAAAGTTATGTTCATTACATGGCATTTTTTTCCTTGTATGTAGAACAGTACGGCTACCTTTTTTGTTAATTATGGAAATTATTTATTATATATATAAATTATGAGAGAGAAATAACCTTTCCCAAAAGTATTATTATTATTATTAGAGGCAGAAGCATTGTATATGCAACATATGAAAAGTACAAAATATTCCATCAATGGAAGAAACAACCATTGTTAAGACCAATATGGTTCAAGTAAACTTCTAAGCACCTTGGATCATTCAACAACATAAGAAAAAAACAAGACAGTCCAGCACGATGTCCGCTTCTGGGAACAACATCGATTTTATCACATTATGTTTGATCCGATCACTTCTTTCCAACTGTAGACTACATGGAAATACTTCCAACACAATTTCTCGCCGATGCTTGCCCTTGAGAGTCTAATAAGAGTATTTAGTGCCAGGTAAGGACTATTCAAGAACATATTACGGAGAATACAGTGATTATGAATCCAATAAGGCAAACAGATGTTGCAAATCATAGCAACAAGAGAGAAATGCAAACCCGAAAATTGGGTAGAAAAGGTTGTAGTTCAAAAGCCTGTGAATAAATAAAACAAGCAATTGATCAATCCTAGAACACTTCATTACTAGTGTGAATTTGTTTCACAAGGCCGGAAAGAAAACCAGATTGCTGAAACAAGTGTTAAAAAAGGTCATCAGCTAAATTAACGAAATCGAAGACAAAATGGGTGTACCAGTTTAGTTGGATTTTCTAAGACCCTGAAGATGACTTCTGAACCCAAACTTGTTTCTGCAAGTAAAGAGAGAAAAAACACAACAATCAAAGGTGAGCAATATATGACAACTATTACTGCTGATTCAGCACAAAATTTGCAAACCTCATGGAATGAGCTAGTAGCTCCTCTTTTGAAAGACTTGCCGTCCTTCAATATAACAAACCCATCATCCTTAGCATTATGGGTTGTTGTATGCCGAGCAAAATCTCTACTGGAACCTGTTGAATGTATCATCAACATGCATTCTACTATTCATGTGACAGCAATACCAAATCAATCAATTATAGATAGATTGATAGTCTGATAGACTAACCATTTTCTGACGGAATGTTACGTCCACTACTTCCATTAGGTATGCCGCCTTTCATTTCTCCTTGGATAAATAGAAGTTCATATGCAGAAGTGAGGTAAATTAGCTTTCCTCATTTTTTGCAAATTCAGTCCGAACAACTTGATAAAATAACTGTAACCCAAGCCTATCGACACTTGTAAACACCAGTTATTCATGTGTAGAAGCATTAATACCTTGACTGGGAATACGAGTGGGCTGGGCAGATTGTGACATGGTGGGTGTTGGGTGCTCCTCACTAGCTTGTGAAACTTCAGAACGAAGAAGAGGGGCCCATACACCACGATCAGGTCTATCCTTATTTCTTGTACGTTTTTCATGCTTCTCGCTTCCGAAACCTGAACCATGCAGTGCCTTTTCATGAACTTATTTGAAACTCTTTTTGTATCAAAACCAGATTTCAGCACAGGACTTTAATTAGAAACATGACCATTACCCAATCGTGCATTCGTGGGCCGGGGTGGTCTCTTGACATTGTCCAGACTCATAGTTTCATTTTTCTGCTGAGGCTGGACCACTGCAGAAGATCGATTTTGGCTCGATTCATTACTCAAAAGTATGCCCCTTATCAACTTTCCACCATCCTCTTGTCGCTGACGTTGTCTCAGAGCAGTTGAACCAGATGAAGTTGCTACAGGAGATGGTGCACCTTGCAATTCAGGTTCACCCTCCAATGCCTAGTAAATGTAAAGATCATCATAATTTGCATCCAAAAATTTGAAGGAAAAAATATAATAAAATACCCCAGCTCTACAAGCACATAAAAAACATCTCAATGAAGTATAAGAAACTTGAATATAAGCTAACAACGGATATGTAAGTGGAAAAGAGACAACAAAAGGAAAATCTACTACCTGAGGAGCCTTCCGATCTTTTGGTTTTAGGAGAAGGATCTTTTGCTTCCCAGAATCAGCAGCAAAATAGATTCCAATTACAGGACCATCAATGCCACAGACTGTAATGCAACTAATTAAGCCAAAATATGGAGGGATAAATGACAAGGACAAGTTAAAAACCAAAACAACCTGCAACCTAAGGATTCTAATATATCACCAACTTCTAGTCATATGAAAGATGATAATCCAAATAACAGCAAAGAGAAAGAATAAACACACAACTTAATTACACCGCTCACGCACATGCTATAAAAGAGCACATAAAATGACATGATTCATTTGCACTAACGCCAGTATAATAAATAATTACATGTAAACAAAAGGTCAACATTATTCCACACCTTCATCCATGCTGCTTAAGATATATAGATGAGTTTTAAAGACGAATACAAGTAGTCTAACATATGAACTCAGGTTGAGCTGAAGCTCCATCATGGTGGTATCAATTGAGGAAACTTAAGTCTGTTCCTTTTCATTGTTCCATGGGTCGGCTGTAATTGTAAATGGTGTAAAAGAAACTTGGGGATAAGAGCCCATATTCTTGCTATCATGGATCAACTGGAGTTTTCTGAAAAATTTACAATTAGCTTCACTGAAACACATTCATGAAAATATGCTAAGTTTTCTGGCTACAGATTATGGGATATGTACCATAACAAAAAAAGACGGATGTTTTCAGCAATTTCAAAAAGTCAAAGAAATTTATATAGATTTAATCCAAAACAAAAGGTCACAACGAGAACACAAAAAGCTTTGACGCAAATGCTAATAAAGCTAGTAGTTTATAAGCACTCAACAAAGAGTAATTCTCACCAGTTCCATTCTCTCTTATTTCTTTTGCAAAAGAAGTCACCAATTGATCCTCTTTCTTGGATGCTACCAAAGAATAGGACTTCTTCGCACCTTTTGCACCGTCTTTTAGAATATACTGCAAATCAAACAAGTTTTCCTTCAATGAAAATAGAAACTATTATTAACCTTCAAAAATTGCACATGCACACCTAAAGTAACAAATAATCACGGGCAAAAATCATTTAAAAATTCATGAAAAAAGGCCGTCCGTTTCATCTGTTATATGGAGCATTTATGACTATGATAAACTTCAAGTGCCTAATATAAAACTTTAAATTATCGCCTTAAGGCTTTTGCTAATGGAAAAACTTCCAACCCAATGGTTACACTGCAAGGTAAGGAAGTGATTAAGAAACATAATCATTGGCTTAAATTTTTTGAAATGTTACCTCTTCCTTTCCTTCCTACCAAACAAAGCCTAATTTTTTTATTTTTGGGGATAAACCAAACCTTACTAAGACAGTATCCTACAGGCATTATCCAAAGGAATCTTAAGACCCTTCAAATTACAGATACCAGTCCATTTTCACATCTTATTCCACCCTGAGTGCCTCCTAAAGGTGCAATTACCCTAGCATGTAAGGATAATAAAGAAAATCTATCAACTAAAACAGAGAGCCACAATTATAAAGAAGATGATCCAGATAAATAAGAGCTAAGTTCTTGTACAAGTACAAGGCCTCTAATTCACCAGTAGGTTGACTAGAAAAAAATGGTTACAACGCAATTTTTTTTCAAAGTACTGAAAGGTTCTCTTCAAGCAGAGAGTACCATATGCTAAAATATCCAGCAATACAATAAATAAGAAAGCTATTGACTTTGAGACCTTTTTCTTCTCAGAGCCACGCTTGCTACTTGATCCAGGCTTGCCTCTAGATGCAGCGGCAGCTTTTTTGCCAGACTTTCTTAGAGTGATTGACCCCTGTCACCAAAACAAAGTGGTCACTTAAGGATGACTTTTTAATTCATCTTTTGTTTCTTTTACCTTTTTCTAGGCCAAAGTACTAAAGGAAATAGTGACCAAGGACAGCATCATGTAACATGTTGAATAGAAACATGTAAGGCCAAGTCTCTCAGACTGTTGGACAATTTCTGGTCCAATTGGATAATAATTCATGAGGAAATTCACCGGGGAAAGGAAACCACGCAAATACCTTCTTCAGTCGTCAACGTCTCCATCATGTTTTAATGATGTTCAATGAACTAATAACAAAATAAGTAATGGGAAGTCGCATACGATGCCTAAGGTCATATAAAAAGGAAAAATGGCACCATGATGGTACAGAATTACACCCTTTCCCAAATTGAAATACCTGAGCTCCACACTCAGCAGCTCGCCTCTGACGTACAAATTCCATTAGTGGAGTAATGACAGGGACTCCTTTGGGAGCGCCTAAGAAAAATAAAATGGGACCAGAGAGATAATATTCATATTAGGGTGAAAAAAACCCATAAATAGAATTCACTTTTTTTATCATTCTATCATAACTAACCAGATAGTTCTGCTTCTTTTCTTTCCAACTGAACCTCAGCACTGGGAAGATTCTCAACAGGTTTTGCAATAATTTTGAGGAACTCTAGATAATCAGGGTCTAGTTTCATAAAAGAAAAAGAATAGTTAGTACAAGATAACAAGTTATAGGAGTCAACTCAATTTTAGTGCAAAAGCTTCCTATTAAATAATATCCCTAAAGATGAACTCATTTTCATTAAAAATAATGCACCTTTAAAAATGGTCCCTTCACGAGCATCCTTTTTAGTGTCTGGCTTTGGAACATGCTGTGAAGGAGCATATTCAACAATGGCTTTAAATTGAGTACCTGCAATAAATGGCATCCAACAAACATTTAGCGTAAGGGTCAACATATTATGGGTACATTTAAGTTAAAGAAGAAGAAATTATCAATTTGCAATCTAATTTGAAAAAACGCTAACAAAAGTCGTATCATAAATAATCAGAATTTAACCATAAACTACCCTTCTCGTTAACAAATACATGTCCACCGAAGAACTCAGCAAAATCGAAGACATCTTCTGGCCTCTTGAAGTTTATGTAGGCTCGAGAGTATCTCTGATGCTTATGGCTGCAAAAGTGTTTTGAAAACCAAAGGTAATCATCAAAAGACGAGGTAACAACAGGACTGCGTACTAAAGAA